AGAGAGAGAGAGAGAGAGAGAGAGATAGATAGATAGATAGATAGATAGATAGATAGATAGATAGATAGATAGATAGATAGATAGATAGATAGATAGATACCGCAACCGAGTACCGTTCACGATAAGTGAGTAAAAATGGAGAAACGGCTCCACCTGGCGATCGCTACACGAACTACGCTCCACGCGATGGGAATCGACTATCGTTGATCGTAGCAGACGTTCGCTCGCGCGCTGTCGATCTCGATCTGACATGCATTGCCCGACGCCGCAGACGACAGAGTTAATTGCGCGCTCGCGCATCGGAAGTAGACGAAGAAAAAATCACACGACGTTAGTAATAAATGATAGCATAACGTATAGCATAAATAATCATTGCGCGAGAATTCGTCGAAAGAACGTCGAAAGAACGTCATTCGCGGTTGTTCTCTCCCTCGTCTGCGCTGTTGCTCGTTATCGCGTGTGTGTGCTGAAGTCATCATCGATACTTCGTGAAAGCACAGGAGGCTGCTTGTGCGTTATTATATATTATTAATTGCACGAGTTATATTATACATCGCACGTTTATATATTTATCACGCATTTTTAATTATTATCATATATTTATGTGTTGTGTTATTATGTTAGAGTGCGAGCTAACATGCGAGTCTATTGCACCGTTTTCCACAAGTTGCGAATTCGCGAGTGTCACCCACCCTTCGTCTAAACGTTTTTTCATCCTCAGCTCCTAAAATCGAAAAATTGTTAGTATACTGTTCCCGTTTGCCATTCCCCGTACGCGTTTTATCCAAAACCTCGCATGTAATCCAGATGAAAGACCGGATACCAGAGAAGCGTCGNGTATATATATATATATATATATATATATATATATATAGAAAGAGAGAGATAGATAGATAGATAGATTGATACCGCAACCGAGTACCGTTCACGATAAGTGAGTAAAGATGGAGAAACGGCTCCACCTGGCGATCGCTACACGAACTACGCTCCACGCGATGGGAATCGACTATCGTTGATCACGTGCGCGTAGCAGACGTTTGCTCGCGCGCTGTCGATCCGACATGCATTGTCCGACGCCGCAGACGACAGAGTTAATTGCGCGCTCGCGCATCGGAAGTAGACGAAGAAAAAAACACACGACGTTAATAATAATTGTATCTTCGTATAGCATGAATAATCATGGCGCGAGAATTCGTCGAAAGAACGTCATTCGCGGTTGTTCTCTCTCTCGTCTGCGCTGTTGTTCGTTATGATCGCGTGTGTGTGCTGACGTCATCATCGATACTTCGTGAAAGCACAGGAGGCTGCTTGTACGTTATTATATATCATTAATTGCACGAGTTATATTATACATCGCACGTTTATATATTTATCACGCATTTTTAAGATTATTATTATTATCATATATTTATGTGTTGTGTTATTATGTTAGAGTGCGAGCTAACATGCGAGTCTATTGCACCGCTTTCCACAAGTTGGGAATTCGCGAGTGTCACGCACTTTTCGTATATACGTTTTTTCAACCTCAGCGAAAAGTCGAGAAATTGTTAGTATACTGTTCCCGTTTGCCATTCCCCGTACGCGTTTTATCCAAAACCTCGCATGTAATCAAGTGCACGACACACGCGGTCAGCTTAGACTAGCGAGGTCTACAACCTAGACACACACACACACACACACACACACACACACACACACACACACACACACACACACACACACACACACACACACACACACACACACACACACACACACACACACACACACACACACACACACACACACACACACACACACACACACACACACACNGCCGCTCGCGCATCGGAAGTAGCAGAAGACAAAAAAACACACGACTTAATAATAATTGTATCTTCGTATAGCATGAATAATCATGGCGCGAGATTCGTCGAAAGAACGTCGAAAGAACGTCATTCGCGGTTGTTTCTCTCTCTCGTCTGTCGCTGTTGTTCGTTATGATCGCCGTGGTGCTGGCTGACGTAATCATCGATACCTTCGTGAAAGCCAAGGAGGCCTGCTTGCGACGTTTATAATATATATTATTATTGCACGAGTTATATTATACAATCGCACGTTTATATATTTATCACGCATTTTTTAAGATTATTATTATTATCAATATATTTATGTGTTGTGTTTTATGTTAGAGTGCGAGCTAACATGCGAGTCTATTGCGCACCGCTTTCCACAAGTTGTGAATTCGCGAGTGTCACGCACCCTTCGTATATACGGTTTTCATCCTCTCAAGCGAAAAGTCGAGAAATTGTTTAGTCTACTGTTCCCGTTTGCCATTTCCCGTACGCGTTTTATCCAAAACTCGCATGTACATCAATGTGCACGACACACCGCGGTCAGCTTAGACTTAGCGAGGTCTACAAACCTAGGGACACACACCACACACACACACACACACACACCACCACACACACACACACACACATCACACACACACACATCACACATCACACACACACACCACACACACACACAACACACACCACACACACACACACACACACACATACACACACGCACGCACGTACGCACGACGCACGCACGCACGCACGCACGCACGCACGCACGTACACACACACATAGATGCGATTTCCTTTCTATATTATATATATAACGACTGATCTTGAACGAATGATATAAATAACATGCGTGCAAATGGGAATTTCTTTCGATTTCTGTATTAACTTACGGACTGTACGGAACTTACGGACTGTGCGGAACTTACGGACTGTACGGAACTTACGGACTGTACGGAACTTACGGACGTATGAACTTCAGAATGAACTTACGGACGAGCTTGCGGCTCCTCTGGTGTCCTGCTCCGTCGTCTCCTCCGCCTCGGACACGTCCATGTTGCCTCGCAGCGACATCTGCATCTTCTGCTTCATCGTCGCCATCAGGCTTTGCTGTCGGGCGCAGAAAGGGGCGTGCATAATTACCCGAGGGTTAATAATGACAACTTTTTGTCATTTTTGTCATTTTTGCCATCTTTGTCATTTTTGTCAAATTTGTCAAATTTGTCATTATTAACCCCTGATGTTACTGAGATACAAACAGAACGACTCCCTACTTACTCCTATACTACTTCCCCGTGCTTGGGACGCGTGCATGCAGCCCTGGCCCGCCTTGTGTCGCCCTGACCGTGCACGCCTGCCGACCCTCGAGACAAAGATATTTTCATATATGTTTGTTGGATGCTAACACGAGTCGCATCTGAACATTAAAGTGCTGCTGTATCCGCGCGTATATAACACCGCGTGCCATATTTCACGGCTGTAACGCGTGCGCATGCGGTCACTCCATTCTTCCGCGCTATGGTGCATTGAGGAGCGGTATGATAGGCGGATGAATTGCATGATAATAATTGCACGATGCGGTTGTTGGTTCTCATATTGGCTGGTGGGCTTTTGCGTCGCGGGATCATTGGCGATATTTGAAAAGCGAAGTTGTATTATTATGATAGCATATTTATGCATTAAATACACACGCGCGCACGCTCACACGCACGCACACGCACACGCACACGCACGCACACGCACACACGCACCCACACAATTCGTTGCAGAGACTTTAAAAAGAAGCACTGCTGCCTTCAATGTTCCCTTATCGAATATAGAACTAAAAACTCCCCGCCCGTCTTTTCTTTCCCTCTCGATTCACACTATAGAAACTATGCGTTTTCTCTCCTTTCGCAATATACACGGATTTGTCGGAGCGTTGTCCATGATAATATGCTACGTGGCAAGGATTTTTACGACCTGTGCGTGAGCCAATATGCAATCAACCGCCAATATTGCCTATACCATATCTGGCTGCTTCGTGCTGTAAGGCTTACCGTATTTACTCGTGTAGAGACCGCGATTCGTGTATAAGTCGCCAGTCCACCATTTTTTGTCTGCGCGCACAGTAACTGGTCCATACTAGGAGTGATTTCTTAGCACTCGTGTATAAGTCGCACCTCTGATTTTTATTATTGAACTTGTGAACAAAAAAGTGCGTTCTATACACGAGTCTTCAAACAGTTTATAAGATTACGTCGAGTAAACGAGTAATGTTTTAGAAACAGTTTAAATGGATTAAATGATACCAGAAACTTGTCATTGATGTTCAATAACGACAACTGATAAAATCTCAAGCTCGTTTTTTGCCGTTTGCGAGAAAGAAAAAAATAGGTGGCGTCTGAGCTCATGGACTAGTCCGTTAGTAATTTTTAATAATATTTGTCGCTGTAATGTATTGACTATATCAGGAGTACATTAATGTACAATAAGTCATTACTGCACGCGAATGCACCCACGCATGCACATGAAAGCATTATTGATGTTAATTATTGTGCTCGTGGCTATATATATATATATCTGCATCCGGTTGCAGATATTGCAATATTGCAGATATTGCAGATATTGCAGATATTGCTGCGCATTGTGCGTCGGCGATGCATGTGTTTGTCGTTGCGTTGCTTGTCGTTGAAATCAATAAATTCAGGCAGGGGCCGATCGAACGCGAGCGTTATTTGCATGTTTCGTTACTACTGTCGACTGCCTTGTTGCTACCAAACGCATTAATTCATCGCTTCCGCAATTCTCATTCAATTCATCGCTAGCATTCAGTGAAATCATAATCGGGAACCACGGCTCCCCTAACGAACAAAGACAAGATGCAAGTCGCGAGCACTATGTATAGCATAACGCTGTTTCCCAGAGACGGGGAGAGAGAGAACGATAGAAAGAAAAGGAGAGAGAGAGAAAGTGGATGAGAGACAGAGAGAGAGAGATAGAGAGAGAGAGAGAGCGAGATAAAGGGTGAGAAAGTAGGCAAGAGAGAGAGAGAGAGAGAGAGAGAGAGAGAGAGAAAGAAGTGATCGATGCATAGGATGCGATTGATTGATACACCACGCCCGGTTCCTATGCCTCCATCAGCAACCGTGGAGTCAACACTAAACGTATAACAACTGACGATATTCGGAAAGAAACAAAGAGTAAAAAACTGCAATGCTTTATTAGTGTTAAAGAGAGATTTAATGGCTGTATAATGCAATATAATGAAACCTAATATAAGTTAATAGTACAATGCAGTATTAGTAGAATATGCTGTGTAGCCGTAAGATGCAAGGTTACAAGAACATACACATAAGCATTAGCTATTAGTTAGTAATCATTCACATAATCCCATAACACGGCAAAAACAACTTGCATAAACATTTTCAAAAATTACTAGAATGTTTCACGACACGTCTTACTGTGTCTAAAATTAATAGGGCTGCCCCCGTATGATATGCTAGTTATTTGTGTACCGAATGTTATTATAATATGCCTAGTCTATATAATCGTATCCATCCCTAATTTGGTCGTTATATTCTAGTACAGCTATTATAAATATTGCGAACACCTAATGCAAAAAATGGAAGCGCGTAGTCGAATATTCTCGAACCGTTTCGTCTATATATCAAGTAATCATTGAGATATATATGGATCGTACGAATAGACAGTTAAAATTCCTGTATATCGGCTACTTTATATCACATCGAAAGCGGTCCTAGCTGAGCTAAAACTCTGACTTGCTGGAGAAAGTAAAAGTAATGTCTTTATTCAGCGCAAATGAGAAGTGCAATTAGAATGGTGCTGTGATCAACACACAAAATCTATACACAAAAACACGACCAATTATGTTTATATTGTCGCAATTCTACGTGTGTGTTTTTTCAAATATACATAGCTAGACAAAACGTTTTCGTTAGTTTTTGTAGCATACTAACAACAACCAACAGACAAGGGGATATGCAAATTCACACCGAGTAATTTTGCTAGTGTCGCCTAGACTTTCCAGCCAGATACTGAGCGGAAAAGTTCAATACTAATTCCCCATAAGTTAGCGCCCCCTAGCTGATGATCTTTTTATACACTGATTGTTACATCACCTTATCACGGAAAGACGCACAAGAGAGCAATGCGACCTTGATGACTATACAAGCCAATAAAAGAGTCTGTGTAATTATATATATATATACAAATCGGTAGTGAAAAAACAAATATTTCCGTTTATGTTTTTACTCACTCACTCCTGATGTATATATATATAATAATAATAATAAGAAGAAGAAGAAGAATAAGATCAAGAGCCCATATTACATACTCTTGTTTGACAAGATGCCGTCATTCTGGGACATGTATGATTGGCTCCTATGACGCCTGGCGTGCACGGACATGCTTAACAGATCGGATGAGTTTATATATATACACAGGCACATGCTGTTAAACGAACCGCGTGAAAATCCGCATGCCTAGATAAACGCGTGCAAATTTTAATGGCCGCAGTATAAATATGTATATATTTTCGAATGCGTGCGTGTGTGCGTGTGTGAGCATGTGCGTGTAGGCGTGTGTGTGCACGCACGCGCGCGTGTGAGTGCCTATGTTTGTGTACAAATTGATCATTCTCGGAGTTGAATTGAAATGTGGGTTCGCTCGCTCTTGAAGTTAGAGCAATCATTGTATTAGGGTAGGACAGGTAATAGTAAAACTATTACCGATACAAAATTGGAGAGGTGCGTGGTCTCTTTTCCCCACGTTTTGAATTTCCATTTTCCCCCCATTTTCCATTTAGGAATATCCTCAGCAAACTTCTATCGATTGAGATCAACTGAGCTTTTTTTCTAATCGAGAACAGCGGTGTTCACCGCGACATCACCTCTAAACCAACTTGGCGTCGTTCGGCTCACGTTGCAAACTCGCCTTAAAAACAACCTGCGTGTGTTTCAAATTGCCGACATCGTGAATTCACTTTCGCTGACTCGATTATTGACTCTATTAACGAGCTTCCACGTTGTTTCGTCTGCGTACCTTTGATTCGTTAGCTTCGTCGCGTGATCTGTACACAAACTCGGCGACTGCGGCCAACATTGAGAGTACGAGGCCGCCTATGAGAATGTAGAATATTCCAGCAACGTTCATCATATTCAACTCATTACTCTGAACCGTGTCCTGGAAAAATCAATCGCAATCAACACACACACAAGTTCGATCTGTTGCCAACTTTTTCTAACTCTGAGGAATCGAGTCGACAAACCTGTGCTGCGCGCACGGGGTGGAAACCTGGACCTTCGTCGTATAGAGACGGTCCCAGCTGTTCACTACACACACGTACACACGTGTAATCATAAACACAAGGCATTGATCGAACGATGTTTCGATACGGATCGATAAATGAATTCGATGACGGCCGTGATGATGGAGAAAACGAGACCGCCGATCAGAATATAGAAGATTCCGGCAAAGTTGTTTAGCGTGAGTTCGTTGGACTGTGCCGAATCCTGAAAATGTAAATTACGTGAAAAATATATGAAAACATGAAAACTATGAGCTTACAGAGATTATAACAATTACATATATGTATATATATATATATATATACTATACTTTCACTTTCATCTCTCTGGTCGCCCAAACCCGCACACTCATATGCACACCAAGTACAAACACACGCAGGTGCGTGTACAGGGGGGGGTCCAGGGGGTCCGGACCCCCCCCTGCTCGCGCAGAAAACGCATCTAAGGGGGTCTAATTTCAAAAAAAATCTGGGGGAGGGCCCCCCAGACCACCCCTTCGCGTGCTCGCAAGTTTGGGTTACGGTTAGACCCCCCCCCCTGGTACAAATCCTGTACACGCCCCTGTGTCACGTTTCCTGCAAGTGCACACACGCACCCACGCACGCACCCACACACGGACCCACACACGCACCTACGCACGCACCCACACACGGACGCAAGCACTCACGTACGCATGCGAAAAACAATTCGCGCACGTTCCCCTCCCCCAATACACACGATATTACGGGAAGCTACTGCGATCACAAGATATCACTCTAACTGGGATAATTCTCTTGGATGTGAGAATGAGAATACCTTGGCAGTCTCTCGATCAAAACATTCGGTATTGTCATACCACCACCTCGTCCGCAGCTTCTGTAGATCCCCATCCTCTCGCAGCTTCAGCACGGCAAATGTTATCTTTTCTCTACATGACAGATACATATATTCGATACTATATATTTATACTATATATTATTGTACTATATATTCGATGAATTGTCTTCTATATAGTCGATCAAATTACCACTATAAAATGTCTACTATATATATTCGATGAAATGTCTACTATGCAATCGTCAAAATACTATGAAGCCCATATAAACCATTAAATAACCACGAAGACCGTATATAAACCAAATAAATAACCATGAAAACTATAAAAATCAAATAAATAACAATAAAGTCAATATAAACAAAATTAATAACCACGAAGACCGTATGTAAATCAATTAAATGATTATAAAGATCGTACAGGTTTAAACCATGTAAAATTAACCTGAGATCGGAGCCCAGCGGTGTGGCGACGCCGTAGCCCTTAGAGTCGAGGTCGCTGCCGACTTTGATGGTCGTACACGGCTTGCGGTTGTTCTCGTACTCATTAGTCGTTGACTCCAGCAGGAAGGCGTACGTCCCCTGCGGACGATGAGAGAGGTGAGAGAAGGAGAAGGTACGCGAGAGAGTGGAGAGATGGCCGCGCGTCCCGTATATCACACGCGCGCCTCGTACCCGGAGAATATTTGACACCGGATCTTTCTTTAGTTTTCACGGCGAAATTCAGTATTTACTGTTGACGTCACGTGTTGTTAATCAGGCTTTTAATTACTCGTAATTCGGATGAGTCACAAAATCTTGTTCGCCACTAATTAAGTATTTACAATTTACAATTTTCAATTTAGTATTTACTGTTACGCACGTAACGTCCGCAAACACGCACGCACGCATACGAACGCCATGTAAATATATATTTCCCTTCGATTCTGGATATAATTAAATAAAGGCCTAAATAATTGAATAAACCTCTGAATAGTTTGTGAAAGCTTGTGGTGGTATATCACGTCCGTTAGTCTAGGGTGCAACCTAATCTATTACAAAGAGCTAATAAATACCTTTGCTATTACCTTGCTAATAATATCTTGCTATTACCTATATGTACCACCTATGTACAACTTGCGTATAATAATACCTTATTATTATAATTATTATTATAATTATTATTATAATTATAATGTGTAATAGCCTACCTTGGATTTTCTCACTCGTTCTATGCCGGCTTTCGTCGACTCTGTGAACACTGACGGTTTCTGCGTGCTCATGAATGACCACATCCGCTTATAGGTCGGAAGGGTCGATTTCTGTTAACGAGAACCATCAACCATCAATTATTAACGCTTATAGATAAATAATAAACACGCACTAAAATAAAGAACGTTTATTTTTGGAGGGCAGGGAATTTTCCGGCGGAAATAAAATAAATGACGTCGATTATTAAGGTGTCGTAAAAGTGCCCTACGTCAGCAGAATCTCAGAAGTGCGCATAATATATCATGTGGCGCGACCCAGTCACACGGACGCGCGCACACACACACACACACACACACACACACACACACACACACACACACACACACACACACACACACACAC